GTTTTCTAATTAGTATTTTGGAGTAGGCTTTGCCAGCAGAAAAAGGAATAGGTTAGATTCTATTTACAATAAAGAATGCAGACTTCTAAAGAAAATTTTAAAAAATCTGTAGAAAAACAGCTAAAAGTCACTTCAAACTACAAATACAATCCTTAAGAATGGGGAAAATCTACTCTCTAGAGTTATCACATTATGATCTTCATTGGTCCAGTGTTCAATTAAGTAAATGAAGTCCTTGACAATGTCAATATTTATGCCTTTATTATGATGTCACTTGTTGTCTCAGCTGTGAAGTCTCTTTTCTTTATGTTGAAGAGTAATCCATACTGAAGATTATAGTCCTTGATCTTCATCAATTAATCGTCAAGTCTTCTTCCCTTTCATTAAGAGGTAACAAATATGTCCTTGTCTCTGAATTCAAACTTACAATTCAGTAACACCATGTGTACCAAGAAGTGATATGCCAGCCCTTTGTAAAATGACCACAGATGTGGTGGGCACAGTGAAACCTGAGTCAGCAATTATAACAAAATATTCCTACTATGATGAAACGCAGCATATTCTTAGAGTCAATAATCTCACTGGAGTTTTAGATTCCCTCATCTTCCTGATGACATAAAAGAGGCATTAATGTTCTCAGCTGGTCTGCTTTTCAATGTTTTTCTGAGACTCATCCCCAACACATCAAGGACATATTACTAGGAATTTCTCACAATTTAATCAACACACGCTTACAGACCTCTTGCTTAAAATACTAGTATTATATCTGTTTGAAGAAATAACACAGAGGTTAGTGTGCATTCACTAGTTGGAACCAACTCATAGTTGGCCCTCTAGCTGGTTTTCAGAGGCAGTAAATCCCACAGGAGGAGACTGACCATCTTTCTCTCACACAGCAGCTGGTGGGTTTGAACTGCGTGCCTTCTGGTTGGCAGCACAACTACTTACCACTAGGTCATCAGAAAGCATGAAAAGAAACAGGCTGTCAGAACGGAAATTTATAAATTAATATCTCAAATTTTGCATAAAATATATAAAACAAAGAAGAGTAAAACCGAAAATGACTTTGATTAATAAATTGATGAAGGTGTAGTGAGCAAGGTCTCTATTATGTTTGAACTATTATTCATAATTTTCTGAGTTAAGAAAAGTGATAATGTTACTGTTGTTGTGTACCATCAAGTTGGAACCGACCCATAGCTGACCCTCTGGCAGGTTTTCAGAGACAGTTAATCGCAAAGGTGGAGATTGTCCATCTTTCTTCCAAGAAGCTGCTGGTGGCCTCCAACTGCATGCCTTTGGGATTGCAGTGCAACTTCTTGCCACTAGGCTACCATGTTGTTATGTGCTTTCAAGCCAACTGCAACTCATAGTGATCCTGTATATAGCAGCTTGAGCCAGTGTCATGGATTCTGACACACCAGCCCCCATAGCCCTGGTTACTGTATCTTTCTATGCCATCTGGGTCTTCATCTCCTGTGCTGTCTCTTTGGCCTTGGGAGCATGATATCCTTCTCTAAGAATCAGTCCCTCCTGGCATATGTCCAAAGTATGTGGGCTGGAGCTTCAAAATCCTATTTTCCATGGAAAAAGCTTGGTTTCACCCTCCCCAGGACAGATCATTTTTGTTTTCTTGGCAGTCTATGGTATGTTCAAAACTCTTCTCCAGCACTGCAGTTTGAAGGCATTGATTCTTTCTCTGTCATCTTTAGTAATTGTCCAGCTCTCTGATGCATAATAAGTAATTGTGAAGACAATGGCCCGGTTTAGGTACACCTTAGTCTCTACACTGTCATTATTGCTTATCAGTACTCTGGAGAGGTCCTGACAACAGATTTTTCCACTACAATTTGTCTTTTGATTTCCTCACTGCTGGTGCCAAGAGTGCTGTTTGTGGAGCCAAGCAAGCTGTAATTGTTAACAACATCAATCTGTTCTCTCACTATCATGGTGGTGCCAATTTGGCCAAGTGGTGAGAAATTTTGTCTTCTTGATGTTGAGCTTCAAAATGATACTATTATACAAAAAATTTTTCTTGATTGAAAAGTCTTTTTAGGGCCTGCTTTATGTCCTTGTTTCTGAGACTGTAGATAAAGGGGTTCAGCATGGGTGTGACCACAGTGTACATCACTGACGCTATTGCACTGGCCCTAGAGTTTTGGGAAGCAGAAGGAATGAAATAAACTCCAAGAACTGTACCAGTGTACAAGGAAACCACTGACAGATGAGATCCACACGTGGAAAAGGCTTTATACTTTCCCCCAGCTGATGAAATTCTCAAGATAGAGGAAACTATCTTAGTGTAAGAGAAAAGGATCCCAGTGAGTGGAATAACACCCAAAAGCCCTATTGAAAAGCACAGAACCAAGTCATTGAGGGAAGTGTCAGAGCAAGCCACTTGGATTACCTGACTAAGTTCACAGAAAAAGTGGGGAATTTCCAGGTCTGTGCAAAAAGACAACTGCAAAACCAATAAGCAGTGTAAGAGAGAGTCCAGAACACTCAGTATCCAGGACACCCGAAGTAGGAGGCCACACACCTTGGGGCTCATGATGACTGTGTAGCGTAGGGGATGGCAGATGGCCACAAACCGGTCATAGGCCATCGCTGTTAAGAGGAAACTGTCCAAGTCTCCAAAAATCACGAAAAAATACATCTGAGCAATGCAGCTTTGGTAAGTAATAACTTTGTTCTGTATCTGAATATTCACAAGCATCTTTGGGACAGTGGTAGAAGTGAGACAGATGTCTGCTAAAGAGAGGTTGGACAGAAAGAAGTACATAGGTGTGTGGAGGCGGGAGTCCGTGATGATGGCCAGGATGATAAGCAGGTTCCCAGTGAAGGTGACCAGGTACATGGACAGAAAGAGCCCGAAGAGGAGGGGCTGCAGGTCTGCCTCTCCTGAGAGCCCCAGAAGAATAAATTCCAAAACTTGTGTTTGATTTTCTGGTTCCATGCAGCTGCTGAAACCATTGGAAAAGAGAAAGGAGCAACACAAACTGAGCCACAAGCACTGAACAACGTAACAGCTAATAGTTTATATTAAATGAAGTTTTTAACTAATTCTTGCATATTGTCCAAATCTAATGCTTTTAATGGGCTGCAAAATGCTGTATCTTCTTTCTGCTCCTGAAACTAACTTTCTTATCTCTAACCTCAGCTTTTTTCTCAGGTGATATATTTCTCTACAAACCAATTGCGATTTTGTTATGCTTATTAAAATAATTATCTTAAGAATTATTTTATGCCATTTTCTTGAAGGCACTGGAAACAGGAGTAAAAATTAATTAAAATATTATTTCCCTTAATAAAATGCATGTATAGTGGTGGTGTTGAGGCCAAAAGATGGTATATAAATACAATCATGGGAAGATTCTGTTCCTGAAAACAGTGTATTCAAAATATGTAAATCAACTAGAATAAAAAAAGTCAACTATGGAGCGGGTATCTCTTCAGTTTGGGATTATGTAAGACAGGTTGAGGCAATTGTTCAACCTATGTTCCACTCACTGGTAATGTCCTGCATCGTCCATACTCAACCATGATGTTTTTATTTTGTACTCCTGTAACTAGGACTGAACTGATTGAATAGCAACGGTCACTTTACAGATGAGGCAGTCAACTTTGTCTTCTAGTGAGTACTGAGTTTTGTAATTCACAATTCTAATAGGGATCTCTGGTAGGCTAGTGGCAAGAAACTGTGCTGCAATCCCAAAGGCACATGGTTCAAGGCCAACAGTTGCTTCATGAGAGAAGGAATGACAATCTCCTCCCCTGCAATTAACTGCCTCTGAAAATCTACTCGAGGGTCACCTATGGGTAGATTCCAACTCTGCGGTGCACAACAACAATGGGGTCGTTTGTTCTGAAGAGAGTGAAACCATACTGCTCCTTGGAGGCCAGGATTCTGAAGCTCCATCTGACATACTGTGAACATATTGCAAGAAGGGGCCAGTCCTTGAAGAGGGACATCATGCTTTAGAGGGGAGAGGGACAGTGCAAGAGAGGAAGGCTCTGGAGGAGATGGATTGAGTGAGTGACCTATGAGGATGGCACAGGATAGAGCACGGATCAGAGGTGTTGTATATAATGTCATTATGAGTCACAAGTGACTCGATGACACATAACAACAATGAGATAATTGTCTTAAAAACAATTAAGCTCCAAGATAGGGACATTTCTATTGATTTTTTTGCCATATGGTGGTTGTTGTTGGTGGTGATGGTGGTTTGTGTGACTGAATCAGAACCGACTCATAGCTGATTCTCCAGCAGATTTCAGAGGCTGTAAATCATATAGAATGAACTGATTCTTTACTATCCTTCAGAATTGATAGTGATTTTGAACTGTCTGCCTTTGGGTTGGTAGTGCAATTCCTTACCACTGGGCTACCAGAGTTCTGTGTGCACATAGAAAAACAGAAGTCAATCTATTGAGAGGATAATTTGAATAACGTAGGGAAAAAATGAAGGGAAGGAAATTAGTAAGAGCTATATAAGTTATAGAAGGAGACCTGATAATGTATTGCATATGTGAGATTGCTAAAGAAAACAAGAGCAGTTCAAATCCACCAGCTGCTGTGTGGGAGTTATATGTACAAATCTTGGAAATGTGATAGAACATCACCATGAGTTGGGCTAGACTTATTGACAGTGGGTTTAGAGTTTGTTTGGCTTTTATAAGATTCAGGGAGGAAGTGATGGAGTCACAACTTCCTTAAGCTGTGCAAACTTACAGTCCTTCTTAGTTCTAGTCTCCACAAGGCCTGGAAAAAGAAAGTGGAATTATCAAACTAGAAAACAAGTATTTTCTATCTTCTATGGTCTAAAAGATTCTTATACTCATTGACTTGGGTGGCCTTGTGGTAAGATGAGCTGCCAATCTAAAGGTGCTCGGTTCGAAGTCACCAATTGTTGCACAGGTAAAGAATTGGAAATCTCCTCTCATGGGATTTACTGCCTGTGACAACCTACTGGAGAGTATACTATGAGTAGCTTATAATCTGTGAATACATAAAAAAATAATTATCAGGATGATCCTTAGAGATAGGACGGTGATATTTCATCTCATGTACTTCTAGAATGTTGTCTGGAGCTGTAAGTCCTTGGAAAAGGACATCTTGCTGGGAAAGGTGTAGTGTCACAGAAATAGAGAAAGACCTCCAGCAAGTTTGATTGACATAGTGAACGTAACAATGGGATTGAGCAAATCCGAAATTGCGAGGATGACACAGGACAGGGCAAGTTTCAGATGCGGTGTCCTCAATGTCATTATGAGTCATGGTCTACTCTATGGCACCTAACATCAGCAAAACCAACAGTATTCTCCAATGAAAGAAACCAGAACTCCTTGGAGAAATATCTGATTTAAAATTGAGGTAGGATATATACAATATATAGAGGTTGAGTTAGAGCATTGTGTAATGCAGGGAAGTAATGAATACATTTTTAAAAATCACCATAATAGCAGCGAGTAATAAGTTTTGGAGAGGATGTGGTGAGATAGGAACTCTTCTACTTTGTTGGTGGGATTGAACAATGAATGGTACAACCAATCTGGAAGGCAGTTTGGTGCTTCCTTTAAAACCTAAACTTAGAAATTCCATATGAAAAAGCTATTATTGCTTGGAATATACCCCAAGAAAATGAAAACTGAGGCTCAAACAGATATTTGTACAGCAGTGTTCATAGCAGCATTATTCAGGATCACAAGAACATGGAAACAATTCAGATGTCCAACCACAATGGAATGGATTGAGAAGTTGTGGTTCATTCACATAATGGAACACTACTCAGCACGCAGGAGCAATCCTGACTTGGGAGGGACTGAAGAGCATTATGCTGAGTGAACCTAACTCAGTCCCACAAAGACAAATACTGTATAAAACCATTATGGTAGAGTGAGTATGAGGATCCAAAGCAGTGGGGAGGGTAGAGGGATGAGGATGGAGGGGGTAGGGTGTTAATCATATGGTTACATGTTGCGCGCCTTGCCTGTCCAGCAGGAATAAGGACACAACACACCAGCGGTTCCTTCTCACAGCGGTTTACTCAGGAGTTTTGTTACAGAGGGTGGTGGAAGATGGAGTCTTTCTTTGAAGATGGAGTCTCTCTTCTTTCCTGGGTGCAGCTTTTATCCCCTTCTCGGTACTCCGCCCAT